GTTTTTGCTTTTGTTTTGTTTTTGCTTTTGTTTTGTTTTTGCTTTTGTTTTTGTTGCTTTTTTGTTGTTTAAAAGTAGGATTATTGTTAAAGCATGGAAAGCTTTTATTTCAAAAAAGCGTTGCAGCTTACTACTTGCATTATGTTTATAACAGACGGAAATGCATGCCATGCTTATTTTGCAGATGTTCCTGAGCGTACTATCATCAAAATCTATCCAAACAAGATTGCATTTTGTCGTGGAGATCAGATACACGTTAACTGTACAACAAGTGCAAAACCACAGGCTAAATACTCGTTGTATCAAAACGACGAACTCATAGGCTCTAGTAAGAGTGGCCATTTTTTTGTTGGTTTAAATGTGCCAGGTAACGTCTCCTTTACGTGTGTACCGAGTAATGAAGCTGGATATGGGGAAAATAGGAGCGTTACACTGGAAGTGAAAGGTATTTATATAATGATTCATTAGTAATGTTTTATTATATGTAAATAGCTGTATACCATTTCCATAATCAGTGTTCCGAAACTACTACCTGTAATGAAAAAGGGTAGAATTTTTGGCTTCTGTTAATCATAATTTCTGATTCCAGAATCACTGGCTTTGTGTTTGATTGTGTAATTAATAGAAGTGAGAAATTGAATATGATTTATTGTAACTTATTCATTGTCAAGGTAAGTGCTGACATAAATGCTAAACTACAAGTATTTCTTTAATGGCGTTAGAACCTAATGGGTTCAGTAAATTCAATAAAAAGAGAGAAAGAAATGGAGGGAGGGACTTTAACGGATTTTTCTTTTCCAAACTTGTTCTCGCCTTTGTTATTTCCTAGGCTGCGTTCATAATGTATGACAAAGGGGGGAGGCAATCTCTCGTAGTTTCTCCTAAAAATTTTGCATCCCCCCAATAGCGCAGCGCAGCCATGACGTCATAAAAACGAAGACAAAGGCGAAATTCGGACAAACAAACTTACAAGTTTACTTTCAGCAAAACATTTTCACAGCCGATTGCAGTTGATCTTAGTTTACATGAGTTATTATTGTAACTTTAAGTAAAAATAATAAAATCGGTTCGTATAATCCTCGTAGCGGTTAAACAGAATGCAATGTTT